TATAATAATAATAACAATAATAGGAAACAGCGAGATTGTTAAACGCTACGACACGGCCGTTAAATAATTTCTACACAGTTTGACGTTAACATTTCAACTACAGTGTAATTATACTGCTGTTGAGTTTTTTATTACCTTTCTAAAGCCTTATAATGAAGGCTTAGTCTTTGATGGCCGACGTTGGGCAACGGTTGTGTTCGCTGTTTTTGTAGAGCCGTTTAAGAAAAATCTTACAACAAATGCAATATAAAATGTTGAAGATTCGTTCATAATTTAATCTCTTTAATCTTTATCATTTATAACCTGCTATGATGTGTATAAGTGTTTTCACTTGAAATTTTAAAAAAAAATTTTACTTAATGATTTTAAAGCTATTTTATGAAAAATATAACGGCAGCAGTCGCCATAGCTCACAAATATCTTCATTGGTACTAATTTTGTAATTATTTTGAATCCTGTACTGAATGACATCAAGTTTGTCCATCATCAACAACATTATCGAAAATTGCTGTGATAATGTCAATGCCTTGCTCGTCCCCCAACCGAGACATAACCGTAAATAAACGTCTTCCTAAGTCCGGTATTTTGCGTTTAGATATAACTAAACCCAAACGTTCATCAGGTGGTTCTGTTGAATTTCGTTCACAGCCACAATGGTTTGCCTCGGTAAGTCACTACATGTGTACGCTGTATGTGTGCATTCGATTTTTTTTTTTTTTTTTTTTTTCATTTCTTTATTTATCTACGTTTTGCTGTCCCTTTCATATTTTTTTCAACGACTTTTAAAGCACGTTCGAGGAAAAAACAGTTTTTCACAAAAAATATCTTTTTTAGCCCAGGCATCACAAATAGCCGAAACTAGTTTTGTGAAGGATTTACAAAGGTGCTAAGAGCAGTTTAAAAAAAGGCCAAAAGAAGTAGAAATTATACGGCAAACGTTGAACGGCAAAATGAATGCTAGTACTTATCATACTCTCTAGACCACACCATAATGTTTTCAATGTCCGGTAAACAATTAAGGCCTCCCTTCCGCATAAACGCTTTCATAAAAAGTGAACCAACAATTGTAAGGCGTAATCGTTAAGGTAGAGACTAGTTTTTATTAAGCCCGTTAATTGGAATAGTAGTAAGCGAAGATGCTTAATGATTCGCTTTTACCCCGTCTCCTCAGAATTTCTAAAGTAAAATTTAATACAAACTTATGGTCACTAAAGACCAATAAGAACATCATGGGTAGGGAAGACTGACTTTCAAAATACCTGACATTACTTTGCCTAACGTACCTAGTTCGACATTTATTTTCATTTTCATTTATTTGAAAGGAAATGCAAAAATGACCCATTATATTTCCAAGTAAAAGTCGGAGTCCCTATTCGGGAACGAGCCTAAAAAAATGCTCACTTATGTAGTCGCAGTTTAGCAAAGTTAAGCGTCTTATTAAAGATTTTATTATTCTTCGGCTTAGAGTGAGTGCTGAAAATTAAACTTTATTGCTTACCAGCCATAAGAACCGTATATGAGGTGTAATCCAAAAACCAATCCAAATCTGTAGTCCAACTTTTGCTTGATTAATTTTTATGCTAAATTATTATTAAAAAAATTGGCAAATGGGATCTAAATTTCCCAGATCATTTTAATATGCTCAAAATACTAGTTGCTCAGCGGTTTTGCTCAAGAGATTTTAATATTTGCAGTTGTTTCATATGATATTCTCAAAGTAAGACCCTGTTGATGAGATGATCGTAAAAGTAACCCATGCAATCAATCTTGGGCGAAGACACCACGCACCACAGTGTACTAAGTTTCTTATAAATATTTATCAAACATGGCAATCTATAGATTTGACACAAATATGTGTTGACGCATTTTAGATACAAGGCACACTAACCAGCTTCGCAGGGGATCAGAAAATGATTCCGATTTTATCGCCACAATAAGGCAGGTAGGCCAGTTAAGTCTCCTAAATCTTACACCTGCACAAACTACGCCTTATGGCAAGCGGTGAACGATATAAATAGTGTATCTAAATATAAGTAAACGAAGAGAGTTACTGTCATAAGACGAAATGAACCAAAGTGTTTTCACGCTAAGATAATATAAAAATTTGCTGAATCGATGCAAATAATGAAAATAAAATAAAATGTTGTTTATAAATATGTTCTACATTCCGTCCGTATGTACTTTATTGGCAAAGTAAACGTCGAATTCATGGAAGAAAAAGATTGAGTGGCAGCTGGGAAGACTTCTTCACAAAATCATTTCGTCAAATGAGAAATGAGGCCTTCTAAAGAAATCATCCAATTGGCTGATCCATCAAACGCTCACATTAGATTACGAACAACAAGAGGATAGCTCTTCGTTGTACATTCGTTCTCCCGAATAGATATAAGTTGTGTATAGCAAAGGAATTAATAATAAATTTTCTTATTTACTTTTAATTGAAGGAATCATATTTTTAATTAATTAATTCAATTATGTTAAGTACGCAAAATTTCTTTCTTTCTTCTTATTTCTATGATGTTGGAAGTTTGTGAGAAAAAGAGAAAAAAAAAAGATAGGGAGAGAGAGAGAGAGAGAGAGAGAGAGAGAGAGAGAGAGAGAGAGAGA